ACTTGTGATTTTTGCGTGCTGGTACGGACAATCGAGATGAAGAGATGTATACGTGTGTATTATGTGTGAGATGTGTCTAGAATTACAGAACAGTTTTTTTTTTTAAGAAAAAAATTTTTTTTTGTTCCTACATCTAGATCTGTTTCATGTGTGTGCTCTTCTACTCTTGTGTCATCCATCTCTTTGACCTTGATTTGTTCTTCTCTATATGTACAGAATGTTTTGAATTAAGTATACTTCGAGTGTGATCTAAGGTAATTTTAACATCTGAAATAGATGAACTAGTTAATAGAAAAAGTTTTATCGAAAGATTATTTCTTTATATACTTAAAACAGAGACAATGCTTTTTGGATTTCAGTTTTGAATTAACATAATATACTCACTGCAGATCACTAAGAAGACAAAATTATGTTTGACAATTGAGGTTTTTTTTCGGAATACAGTTTATCTATCACAGCTTAGTCCATGAATTTCAGTCGTGATGACAGCCGTCACAAAATGAGGTTATGGTTATGATTACTTAATTACCGTTGAACCTTTCAATAGAACAATTTATTACTTTTCAGAGATGCATACCAAGGTTGAAAAGACATTCATTTCCTGTCTCTAGTCATTTATCTGCGATGACATGATAATGGAAAAGAATAATAAAATTGAAATATTTTAATGTGAAATAGCTCAGGTGTTCGATAATATTTTGTACATAAACACATTCTTACTGTCTCGCACATATGTCGCGTAGTCAAAGGAGAAGAAATGAAACAAAAATGATAAGGTCAATAATTCGCACCTGTCTCATTGTTTAATAATCATTTCAAACATGTTCAGGGATCGTCGTAGAGAGCAGTAACAATGTTATATAACGTAAATAACTCGTCTTGGTTTTTACTGAATTATCAGACTTTCAAAAAAAATTAATAAATAATGTACTCACTTTCTAAACGAGAGTTCTGCTACAATAACTTGAAAATATCAAACACCAGATCATTAGAATAAATACTTCCAATCTTCAACAACAAGATGATTAAGAATTAATCATCTTCATGCATACATTTAATAAAATGCTAATTCCCTTTTATTGAATGTTTATGAAAAGAGTGTCTTGATAAGAATTGTAATATACTCAAATTAGAAGGTCACAAAATGGATAAACAAAAAGTATTGAAGTTTGGCAATATAAGTTAAGCTAAATACAAAAATCTTCAAGATAAGATCAAACAGATGGTCTCTTAACTTCCCTTTATTCATATTAGCTGCAAAAATAATTTTGATCCTTATATTTTCGCACATTTTCTATTTTGAAAAGAGAAAACCCACATATCTTACCTACTGGAAATCATATACCTGTTAGAATATCTAGACCCGTCTATTGACGTCTTATTTGTTCAGAGTAACGGATCCTTGTTACACAATCAATCTCTCAAGAGTCTACTTAAGAAAAAGAGAGAGAGACAGTTGAAAAATAGTGCATGATGTTTTTTCTCTTCTTTTCTTTTCATCTTCGTTTCATTATTATATATTGTGTCCTATATGGATTTTGTTTTATTTATAAGACATAATACATCTTTTCTTTTGTTTCGAACGATGAAAAAACTAAAAGAAAAACTTGCCTTTCTCGAGAGAATAATACCAATTGAAAGAATTAAAAAATCATAAGGAAAACAGAAAAGAAAAAGTCAAAAAGGATTGTACTATAATTGCTGTTATCACATACATACAGTCTATCGATAGTAGTTAATAATAGGATGCAAAAATGATTTTTTCATACGGAAAAAAAACTAATATGTTCATTATTCATATTGATAATAAAGACAAATATTCAATTCTGGTCTATTTGTATAACAAATAATAGATGCTAGACGTAAATGAATTACGATAATGGATGAGGAGGGAAAATTCATTATTAAGAACAACTCATTTGACATTATTTAGAATAGCTTGGATTCTGTACGGTTTGAAGTTTCCAACTCATCCTGATGTTTCTGAGTGAGCTGTGAATTTTTTAATATTAGGTGACAACAGCGTGGTACCCTAATTTTCATAAAACTCGGTTTTCATCTTGCTCTTGTGCTCTTATTTAAAACTAAACATTGCCAGCAGATTCAGCGTGGTTGATTACGTATGTTCTATGCAACGCTAAGCCTAACTGAAGTCACCTAATACCAGTCATGGGACTCCAAGAAAACCTGGATAGAAGACATTATTACACTGTTAAAAATCTGTGTTCTTTCGTTCGTTGGAGAACATGGTGAAGGACGCGAATATGTTCTTTGAAAACTGAAGAACAGAATATATGTTCTTCAGACTAGTTTCACGTTTTTTGTTCTTCAAAAATTAGTTCTTCATTTTCATAAAGAACAAAAAACCGAATTCTTGTTCTTCAGAAAACATCATTTTTGTTCCCTAGCTTTCTGAAGAACGTAAATCATATTTTTGTTCTTCAAAGGACAAGAATCCCCGGTACATTAAAATATTCGTTTATGAAAATGCGTCGACGTTCTTCAGAAAGCTAGGGAACAAAAATGATGTTTTCTGAAGAACAAGAATTCGTTTTTTTGTTCTTTATGAAAATGAAGAACTAATTTTTGAAGAACAAAAACGTGAAACTAGTCTGAAGAACATATATTCTGTTCTTCAATTTTCAAAGAACACATTCGCGTCCTTCACCATGTCCTCCAACGAACAAAAGAACACAGATTTTTAACAGTGTAATAATGTCTTCTATCCAGGTTTTCTTGGAGTCCCATGACTGGTATTAGGTGACTTCAGGTAAGCTTAGCGTTGCATAGAACATACGTAATCAACCACGCTGAATCTGCTGGCAATGTTTAGTTTTAGATATGAGCACAAGAGCAAGATGAAAACCGAGTTTTATGAAAATTAGGGTACCACGCTGTTGTCACCTAATATTAAAAAATTCACAGCTCACTCAGAAACATCAGGATGAGTTGGAAACTTCAAACCGTACAGAATCCAAGCTATTCTATACCTTATTTATACAAAAACGCGGAAAAAAAAGATTCTAAAACCATATAGTTTTTCAAAGGTTTTCAGAAAACTGGAAGAGTACCAAAATACTAGTAAAATACTGAAAATACTCGTTACATGACGAAATCGCTGTTTCTCCTCTGGATCCGACCATTTCAAGTCCGATAGCTTCGTCAAACTTTTTTGGTAGTAGTTATTTATATTTTTCTCCTTTGCTGTACCATCAAGTTTGTTATAACAGAAAAAGTTACATAAGTAAACCACTGTTTAATAAACTCTAATTTTTAATATACTTTTACTCATACCAACATTACATTACATATTACAACAATCTTCATTCATTCCTTCATTATCTTCCAATGTACGTTGTACAGTAGCTTTCAGCACATAGTCAGAACGCACAAAGTTGCATTCTTCTTCAGTTCCATCTTGAGAAACATCGCAATTCTCAAGAAAAAAGATGAAGTTCCTGTGCAAACATGTCGAATTTCTCAGGAGAAACGATGAAGTTCCTGTGCACAAACATCGACTTTCTCAAAAAAAAGACGAACGTATTATAGAGAAAAATCGAATCTCTCATGACAAAAGATCTTGCTCACGGCACAAAGTTCTTGAGCAGAAACATCGATTTTCCTAGGGAGAAAGATGAACTTGTTGGAGAAACACCGAATTTCAGAACGGAAAAGATGAAACTCCTTCCTTTGAATTTCTCAGATAAAAGATGACTGTCTTATTGAGAAAACTCGAATGTCTTCCAACAAAAGATCAAATTCTTGCGCAGAAACATCGATTTTCACAGAAGAAAAGATGAAGTTCTTATGGAGAAATATTGCATTTCTCAGGAAAAAGGACGAAGTTCATCTATAGAAACATCGAACTTCTCAGACGAAAAGTTGAAGTTCTTATCGAGAAATATCGAATTTCTCACGACAAAAGATCTAGTTCTTATGTTGAAACACTGAACTTCTCAACAGAAAAGATGACGTTCTTATGGAGAAACATTCAATTTTCGCACGAGAAAAGATCAAGTTCGTGTGCAGAAGCATCGATTTTCCCGATAGTGAACATGAAGTTCTTGCGCTTCTTTTCAGAAAATCGATGTTTCTGCACATGAGATTCATCTTTTCTCGTGTGAAATTCGGTTTATCTCCATAACAAGTTGACCCTTTTTCCTAAGAGAATCGATGTTTTTCCGCACGAACTTCATCTTTTCTGTCGGGAAAATCTATGTTTCTGTCTAAGAACTTCTTTTGTCGTGAGAAATCCGATTTTTCTTCATAAGACATCCACCTTGTTTTTGAGAAACACCCAATTTCACACGAGAAAAGATGAAGCTCCTGTGCAGCAACACTGATTTTCTCAAGAGAAAAGATGAAGTCCTTATGGAGAAAAATCGAATTTCTCACGATAAAATATGTAGTTCTTACGCAGAAACATCTATTTTCTTAGGAACAAGGATGAACTTCTTATGGAGAAAAATCGAATTTTTCAGGAAAAAATATAAAATTCCTTTACAGAAACATCGATTTTCACAGGAACAGAGATAAAGTTGTTATGGTGAAACACCTAATTTCACACGAGAAAGGCTGAAGGTACTCAGCGAAAACAGCGAATTTCTCAGGAAAAAGAATAACTTATCCAGAAGAAACATCGAGCTTTTCCGGACAAAACATTAAGTTCTTGTGAAGAAACATCGGGCTTCGTCTGGAGAAAAGATGAAGTCCTCTGAAGCAATATCGCTTTAGTCCCGGAAAAAGACGAAGTTGTTCTGAAGTACCATCGAGTTTCTCAGGAGAAAAGACGAATCCTTAGAAGAAACATCGCTGTACCGGGGGAAAAAGATGAGGTAGTTGGGAAGAATCAATGGGTTTCTCAGAAGCAAAGATGGAGTTTTTGTGAAGTAACATCGTGTTTTTCAGGAGAGAAGACGCACCCTCCGACGAATCATCGCTGTACCGCGGGGAAAAGAGGAAGCATTTGTGAAGAACCATCGGGTTTCTCAGGAGAATAGATGACGTTCTTGCGAAAGAAAGCTGGTGTATCTCATTTTTTACAAACAAATATCACTCAGTTGGAAGAAACAGTTGAACAAACGTTTGTAATATCGTCAAAACTACCTCGATATATGCCAACATCATCACCAGGTTTAGAAGCAACAACAACAACAACAACAACAACAGAATATATTCATAATGAAATAGACTATGATACAAATAATAGTATCGTGTCTCGTAAAGATGTCATATTAGATAGTTATACAGAGAAAGGTAGTCTTGTTGATTACATTGATATTCTCTACTGCAATGATAGTAGACTAGATACTACAAAAGCAAAATTTTAGTTATATTTCACAAAAGCAGAGTCTTGAAATAAACAGCATTATATATCTTTTATCGGGATTATTTACGCATCTCTATAACTCGGCGTATTTGATGACTACGGATTAGAAGAAACTTTACATATACTCTGCTTGTGCAAACGTAAAGCTTTAACGTTTTATTTTCCACTTTTCTTCCAGAGTAATGCACTTAGAAACTCGACTCACTAATCTCATTTTGTCTTTTGACATTGCTGTGCGTCATCCCACTTCATTGCACTCTCCAACGAATCCTAAATATCGTGTCTCCGATTTGGCAGAGCGCGTTTTCTATTTTTCATGAGACCGCGCAGCAGCCAAAATCATTGAGGACACACCAACAATCATCTTGAATCACCAAATGTTTCACGTTCATCGTAAAACGCTAGGTAAGAGAACTGTTTTTTCTTTTCTAAGATGATTGTCCATAAGACAACCACAGATTATGTAGCAAAATCTCGGAAAAAAAGTAGATCGTCTCAGCGTGTAATCAACGGCATCAGATCCATGCTAACCTTCATCCTCATTTTCATTTTCGAGATTTTGCTACATTACCCTACCACAAAAAAGTGATCTTTCTTCGCACAATTTTCTGATTCTATCCAACTTATAGTCTTCCATCTGTCAAACAACTCTTTTCTGTTCTTTGTCTTATAGCTAGCAACCATATCATCTCTGAATCGGATGGCGTTTTATTCATTGCTATTGTACTGACCCACACGATCACACACGCTATAAATCTGTCGTAATGGTAATGATACGAATTGTACCAAAAAGAACACCCCGCCGCTTCTCTTCTTTCATTCGTACTCCCATTCTGGGGAAATCGATGCCAGTAATCTGATCGAACGTCTCTTGTTGAATGGTGAATTGCACCTGAGTAAACCGCCACCGACACCTCCAATATTATTCTTCATACCTTCTGCTTTAGAGTCCTGAACAGTAAACGTCATTAATAAGATTTTTATTTTCAACTTTGGTGATAGGGCTTCACAAGAAGCAAAAATACATTAAAATACTGCAAAGAAAACTTCTTGGTGTGAGCCTGCTTCGGAGCGTACAGCGTGTTGAATGTAGGTGCTGTGTTGCAAAAGATGAAGCAAGCTCGTTCTGAGACTGCGGCCAAATGGATCCGAGTTGTTCCATGTGTAAAACTGGTAGATGTTTGTATTACGGCATATGTAAAAAGACGAACGCGTTATAGTTTCATAAAAGAACTTGGAAAAACTGCAAAGTTAAGATGTCATGTAACATAGTATGGAGGTGCAATGGGGTGGTGACGGACGTGTTGACTAAAACTCATTTGAATAATGGAGATAGCAATAAGAATCACATAAAGGAAAAAAATACCGCATAACTGTAGTAACCGAACATTTGTATGGAAACTAAGATAAATAAACAGTGTCGAACTAATTTATCTGGCCCGGCCCGACCAATCCTGAAACTTTTCTAGTCCAGCCCGACCACTTTTTAAAATTTTCTGGTCCCAGGCGAGATTTTTTCTTGCATCTGTAATACTTTAGCTTACTCAGTGGTGTAAATGTATTTCTCAAGCTAATATTTATATTTTTATGATTTCTTGGTTTTCATTTTTCATCCTTTAACGGCATTAGCTAAACGAAGTCACTAAGATGTCGCGGAACAGCCATAATACTCTTTCTCGGTACTGAGTATACACATAAATTACAAATCCACGCATGCTTAAAAATTTTGAGTTCGGCCCCACCCGACCAAAAGCCCAGTCCATGCTGATCTCTGATTTATAAATATTGTTAGAGAGAGTATGTCTACCTAGAATGGCCAATCGTGTTTTCGTTTTGTTTTAGTTTGCTTTTAGGTCGGATTTGCAAATTTATATTAGCAACCTCCATTGTATGCCAACATTATAATTACCGATTCGGCGAGAAAGAAAAATAGATGAAGAAGAACAGAAAAGGATATGTGTTGTTGCATGGATCATCAGAATATAGAGCAGTTGTAAAAATATCTTTTTTCTTTTTGTCATGTTCCTGATTTTATTGAAAAAAACTTAAAAAAAGTTCTAAAAAACTTTTGAAAAAAAAGTTTTATTCCAGTAAGCTAACTTACGAGTGACAGTGATGTATAGATGAACGATAACATAGGATGTAGGCGATAACATTCATTTTATAATACTGATCAATACGATCTCGTATGTCGTAGTAAAAGTGAAACAATCTTATAAAGTGTGAAAGCATTATGATAAAAATTTGATATCATATCTTTAGCAACATCACACTTTTAACATGGGCATCTCTAATGAATTTAGAGCAAAGGTCAAAAATCTATTCTTTTGAAATTTTCAATAATCATTCGGCATTGAATAGACAAGTCAAACGTTTGCAGCGAACGAATGTTCAAGAAAACAAATCTTTCGAATAGTTGTGCCCATCGAACAAATACAACTAGTTATTTGCAACTGTTCAAGATAATGGAGTGAAAATAGTCTGTATATATAAAAAGTTGATTCATTTTATTTAGCTAACAGAGTTGCCGATTTTCATCCATAACCATTTAGTAACCATCTGATGCGATGATAGTTTGTGGTGTAAGCGAGCGCAACAAAGATGATTTTTGTTGTATGAATATCAAAAAAGCCTTATGATAAAATCAGGTTCCAGTAAGAACTACCGAGAAGCCAATTCAACGCTAAAGCATGGCACTCTGAGAGACTTTTTTTCTAAGAAAAATAGCAAGAAAAGCTCTGTTCATATTGTAGCCAGTAATAGTAGAAGGTATCATGCACAAATAATGACAGTGTATATGATACACATTACATACATACAGTACTAAAGAAAATTGATAGAAGAAAAAACATTTTGCCTTGCAGCTACCATTACCGGTATACAGTTCTAACAAGTGAGTCACTTTCAAAACTCATATCTTCTCTCACTATGACAAGCTTCTCACATGGTCACCCATGTCACCACTATTTATTAACTTCAGCTCTGGCTAAAAGGACAGCCTGATGTAGCGTTCTTTCACTTGAGCTTTCTAGATACACTTACTAACCACGTTGACATGGGTAATGTTCAAAGTTACTGCACGAGCTGTGGACGCCGAAATTCGAAGGCGATACTTCTAAAGTACATGACAAACAACGTGATCACCAAGCCAGGCAATCAAAAAATTATCTATATCATACGGTTAATTTGATAAGCTGAGAGTAGGACTAGAAAAGGATTGAATTAGATGTTGATTGTTTCTTTGAAAAAAATGTCGGATCTCTTAGTGTACAAGGCTATTCAAAACTGATTTCACTCTCAGTTTTATTAAACATTGCAGTACATACATCACTTCAGCGCTTAAAATGCGCACGATTGATAGAACTAAACAGTCATTTCTACCTAATACTTTTGAAAAATTTGTTTATTCAAAACGCAGTTTAGTTATTAACACAGCGCCAAAAACTATCTTTTTATTCGGATGACTCATGTATTGGAGCATGTTGAAAATTTTGTTGAATAATACTCTTGAAATGTGTTGTCTATTTCATGTCTTTCTTATTCACATCCTCAACATTCTTGCCTAGTCTTCTATCAAAATTAGTGGAACGTAAATTACAATATCTATCGTTATCCGTTGGTCTTATATTTTGTTGTTCAGCATATCAACGTTACAATCGGTTAAAAAACGAATTACAACATTATGAAAGACGTGAACAAACAATATTGACACTGAACAAACAAAAACAACAAGAATTATATTTTTTACAAACAAATATCACTCAGTTGGAAGAAACAGTTGAACAAACGTTTGTAATATCGTCAAAACTACCTCGATATATGCCAACATCATCACCAGGTTTAGAAGCAACAACAACAACAACAACAACAACAGAATATATTCATAATGAAATAGACTATGATACAAATAATAGTATCGTGTCTCGTAAAGATGTCATATTAGATAGTTATACAGAGAAAGGTAGTCTTGTTGATTACATTGATATTCTCTACTGCAATGATAGTAGACTAGATACTACAAAAGCAAAATTTTAGTTATATTTCACAAAAGCAGAGTCTTGAAATAAACAGCATTATATATCTTTTATCGGGATTATTTACGCATCTCTATAACTCGGCGTATTTGATGACTACGGATTAGAAGAAACTTTACATATACTCTGCTTGTGCAAACGTAAAGCTTTAACGTTTTATTTTCCACTTTTCTTCCAGAGTAATGCACTTAGAAACTCGACTTTTTGCAATTATGTACTACCAACTATTGCATATCTACGATACAATAATCACCGTGCGAACTTTTGTTGTTACAACGTCTAATGTCATGACGTTTTTGATTTCTGAAAGTACAGACGTCTGTCTACTACTGCATTTTTCTGCAAGTGATTTTTTTCTTCTCAAAAACCAATTAAACACGACTTGGATTGAAAACTTTATTTTCATAAATTTTAAAGACAATGTCCTTTATTAGTGTAAAAAACTGTGTCAAGTGATTTGTCTTTTAGGTAAGGTAGAGAATAACATTTTTATAAAAACTTCAACATTGATGGGAACCGTTATTTGCTTAATTAAGAGTATTTTATCTGCAACTACTCAAAAATAACCATTTCTTCTTTTTAGACCTTCCAAGGATAATAACAAGTATACCAAACATGTTTGATCATGGTGACACTGTTCATTTTATTCAAAAAATGCCCGTACGATCGGTTAAATCGACCATTGCTACGGTTGACGAAGACGATGAATCTGATGATCCTTTATTACAACGATTGAAAGGATTACGTCCAGGACGATTAAAAAATGCCGTAACACGAACATCATTCAATGAAGAAAATGATCAAACCACATGTTCATCATCATCATCATTAATGCCTGATCATAATTTAACTAATAATTATTATATCGATGTTCTAGAATTTAGTGATTGTCTATTTGTTGATGAAATACATGAACTACATGACGAGTAATTATCACTGCCGTTTAATTTTAATTTCCCAGAGAATCTTAAAAAACTAATTTATATTTAAAGACATAATAAAAAGTGTAGACACAAATATTTATCAATTCTTTCGTTCGTTTATATGGTGTACATTGCAAAATATTTTCAACATTGATCTGACAAATATTGTGTTCATCGCGTTTTTTGTGAATGTCTTGTTCAATATTTCTAATTTTTGTATCAAATAATCGTACACTGGACAATCTTCTGATAATGTTTCAAGATAAAAATTGATTCTGAAACGAATCAACGATATACTATTGACAAATTTACATAAAATATAAAAAAAGATTAAAAGTATACCGTTTTTCCATGGCGATATAATTTGAGTGAACATTTTTATAATTTAAAATAAAATTTTCAATAACATTAAAAAGTTCATCAGCTAATTGATTGTCGTTAATGACTAAACAAAATGATAAAGAATATATTTTTTATCATAACTCGACAAAACAAGTCATCTTACCATCAGCTGTTAGAATTATTTCTAAATCATTTAATTGCACTATATCTGGTATCGTCCCGATTCGTCGACAAATCGGACACTTCAAAGAATATACATCAAAGAATTTCAAAGGCGGGAGGGGCGGTGTGAGAGTGAGTGTCGACGAATCGGGACTGAATCACTATATCTCTATCGATCCAGTTGAATAGATCAGAGCTATATGATAAACAATGAGAATGTTTTAGCCAATCGAGACATCGAATTTGAACTTTATTATCTACTTCATATAAATTATTCTCAATATTTTGTTGTTCTATTTTGTAGTAATTCTATATTGTAATTTGTACAATAAACAAGTTTCCAAATCAACTGACTATCATGCTTGTTAATCCAATTCCGGCTCCTACTTCTAAAATAGTTTTATTTTCGAATAATTCGGGCTTATTCAATAAGTAATCACACAATAAGAGACAACCATTTCATAATTGAAACCCACATTCATCGACAGTAGTTGATTCACGATGAACTAAATAGAAAAGGCAAACGATAAATCATCTTTCTTCAAAACAAAAATATTAAAACATACTTATAGTTAAATTGATCAATTGAGCTCGAGATACATTAATATCTCCATCAGCATCGATAGTATACTCTGTAATTGTTGGTATATGAAACTGTATTTGACTTTTAATTGTATCTAAACTTCTTAAAAATATTGAATATTAAGAATTGTTCAAAACGATTGACTTTTTTTTGGATACATGCCTAATGATTTCTTATCTAATTCATTTTGTGACACCAGACTGAATAAGTTCGTCAACATCATTGTTTTCTTGTTCACTCATATTTTGTTGTATGAACGTCTAATCTGAATGTATAAGATATTCACAGTTGAAGCATACTAGTCTGATAGGATATAACAAGTGCTTTAGAAATAATTATTCTCTCCTTTTTTTTAAAATAACTTTTTCATTTTTGATCGCGTAGACTTAAACTTCCTTTTAAAAGATTCACTATTCTCTATAGAAAACATATGGGATATTTTTCTATTTACTGTAAAAATATAAAAGTATAGAGAAGATACTGCGAAGATTCTATCTTGACAATTTTTTAACTGAAAACGTACAACGGAAACGAGTATTTTGAACAAAGTGCCATGCAACAATGTTGAATTGAAATGTATTTTCCAGTCGTTTGAAGTGTTGTCTTTCTTTTCGTGTATCATCGGTTCGCTTTAAACGTTTTCTCCAGCACAAAGGGTGATTTTATCAAAATTCGCCAGGAAAAGAAGGAATTTGACTTTTCACCTTAGCACACGAGAAAAAACCGAGCTATTGAACTTTCTCTGTTCAGATGTCATAGAAGAATTATTCTGCTTTAAGGTAGAATAAACTCAATCTCAAAATGTGTTGATTTTGACCGAGTTATAAAATTTTCCTGATAAAATCTAAGTCAAAGATACGTGGGACTTAAGTAAAACTTACTCTTTAACTTAAGTGTGTTTAACAAAGGACAACTTAAGTGAAACTTAGTACTCAAGCAAAAAATTTGACTTAAGTTAAGCAAACGCATTAGAAGTGCGGAGCTGTGCTATATTTAACTGAAAATAGCAAGGAAGTTTTAAGGGAAAACTTGGCTTTTCTTATATGCAGCTCTCAATTTTGGCGCAGATAAACACTGTAACAACTCAGGCTTTCGTTTTTTTCAACTGAACTGGGGTAGCAAGATTTCGATGTTTGAGTAAAACACGAGCGAAACTACAATTTATTAAAGAAAACTAAAAATAAAAGAAACTTGGAGTATATCAAATGTTATCCACAGGTTAGACTTAACTTTCAGTTTTTGATTCCTTTTTTTAAAAAAGGGCAGTTGCATAAAAGCTCAGTGCGGTTAACAAGTGAATGATAGAAAGTGTTGCATTAGTTCTTTGAGTTGTCCGAACAACTTGTGGCTCAATCAATTTTAAAAATCAATTACATAGCTCTTTTCGAACATCTATATCGTGACAGAATCATTTGATCTGGCATTAATTCCAAGAGATTTTGTCGATCTTGAAATACTAAAAATAGAAAATCTTCTGGGTTACCGAGTGCGCTGAATACGAAAAAGCACTTTTCCGCGACTCTGAATGAACTTCGTTTTCTCTCAATGATATGGTTCCTGCGATTCAAAATTCATTATAGTTAGGGATTTCAAGTTTGGTGTAGTTATGGTCCTCGCTAAATGCTGATCACCAAATAAGTTTCGATCTCTTTAATTTAAAAATCCGTGAGATATGATGAATAATTTTTTTTTCGAGTAAAATACCAGTTAGCTAGAAAAATGAATGCGTTATTTTGGCACCAAAATCAAGCCACGTTTCTCTTCTATTTATAGTTTCAGTTTAATGTATTGACTGTTAAGGCTCAGCATAGAAACACTATTCCGACTTCAAACTCTGACGAAATGTCGTGCAACATCTACAGATTCTTCATCTGAAGTTAACTATTGTATGATTCAGAAATCCATTGAAATAAGTAGACAGGTATGCAATATACGCAATGAGACGAACTTGATGGACTAAGAGTGACCCTTTTAATCATGTCCTCTGCGGTTAATTTCCATCAAAAACACAACGAACTTTAGAGGCTTCAAAATCTAGACGTTTGGAAATGTTAGATTTGG